GACTGTGAAAAGAGGTGTTTTTCTGGTTTTTAATAGCCATAAAAATGGCTTTTGCACTATAAGATTTGTTAGTAGAATGGTAGCATTAATTATAGACAGAATGGTGTTTTTACTGGCTGGAGATTCTGTTTTTTGACAGATGTACAGATCAGCAACAGAACTTTTTCTTTTGATGCTGAGTGTTTTCCACTAACAGATGTGCCGCATCTGCTGTTTTTATGTGATAGACTTAACAACAGCAAGGGTTAAGGGTTTTCTTGTTACTTCTGTGATTAAAAGGTGTCAGCCTGGGAAAGTGATATCCCAATCATCATCCAAAAAACCAAAAAACAGCCCAGAAAATGAAAAAGCAATGAATCTCTGCTAGTCACTTGAAAAGGAAAGATATTCAGGCTTGGCCTAAAAGAAACCTATCTACAGTTCCCTGGTAGAGCACAATCGAAGTATATCTGAGCTGCACGTAGAACACAGGTTTCTACCCAGAATGTAGGCTTTTGTCCTCTTTACACGTGCACATACACACATGCACCTATGCACACACACACTTGCTATTTGATTTGGAAGTGCTTTAAACCCAGCTTAGTGTACCGGTGGATTGAACCAGACCTAGGGCTTGGTCAGCACTTGTGTGCAGCGTATTCCTAGCTTTCTTACGTTCGTCCCGTGATTTCCCTGGAACAGACCAGTGACCTGGACTCACCCAGCCCACACTCTTGCATGCCTGTGCCTAGTGCTTGCTGGTGACTGGTTACCTCCATGGGGAACCCAAGGTGCAGGCGGGAGAGGAGGAAACTGGTTAGGAAATCAGAGCGCGAAATCTTAGTCTGTGTTCTGCAAGTTACTTCGGAAGTGCCACAAAATGTTGCACGAGTGGCAAGGGCGGGTACTCAAGAAGACTGAGGGAGGGATCTGTGTGCACTGTAGCACACACAACCTGGAGAGGTGACCCGAGACGTACGCCGGTGAGCACAGAAGCAGAGATGAGGTGTCACTGCCTGGTGGATGTCATTAGGGCTACGCTTAGCTACGTTCATCCCGTGATTTCCCTGGAACAGACCAGTGACCTGGACTCACCCAGCCCACACTCTTGCATGCCTGTGCCTAGTGCTTGCTGGTGACTGGTTACCTCCATGGGGAACCCAAGGTGCAGGCGGGAGAGGAGGAAACTGGTTAGGAAATCAGAGCGCGAAATCTTAGTCTGTGTTCTGCAAGTTACTTCGGAAGTGCCACAAAATGTTGCACGAGTGGCAAGGGCGGGTACTCAAGAAGACTGAGGGAGGGATCTGTGTGCACTGTAGCACACACAACCTGGAGAGGTGACCCGAGACGTACGCCGGTGAGCACAGAAGCAGAGATGAGGTGTCACTGCCTGGTGGATGTCATTAGGGCTACGCTTAGCCTCTCTCAGGTAGATGCCTTTACTAATCGGTGCAGATGAATGAATACGGGCGGGGTGTACAAACTCACGCTCTGGGGCTGCCTGGTGGATGTCATTAGGGCTACGCTTAGCGTCTCTCAGATGCCTGTACTAACCCGTCGGTGCAGATGAAGCTTTACGGGGTGTGTAAACTCACGCTGGCTCTGGTGCTGCCTGGGCTCGGCGTCGATGGCAGGGTTCTCCCCATGTGTGCAGATCGGCAAGTCGCAAGGCCGTAATGCCCCGTTACCGTTTCCCTCTGGATTTCAGGTATTAATTTAATACCTGTCCTAGGAAGATACTTGTATACTAGCCAACATGTTCAGTGTAGATGGCTGTGATATGTTAGCTGGAGGGGTTATCTCCTATAGGGAGCATAAGGCTTACTTTGATCTGTGTTATTTCACGCATTAAAGCTACAGCTTGATCTTCTTAGAGCTTTTGGTGAGCTTCTCGGCATGTGTAAAGGCACGCTTGATTTTTACTGGTGTAGGGGAGGACATGGAGGCAAATAAAACCCCCAAACTAAAATGCACTAGCACGAAATATTGATTTCGATGAAGGAAAAACTTTGAGATGTTTTTGGACTGCCTGATAGTAAGGAATTATTTGAGGTGTATTCACTAATAATTTTTCAGAACTGTAAACGCAGCAAAGATATTATGTAAATTTCCATAAACAATTTCAGGAAGAGTAAAATAACAAAAACATCACGTCCCTTCCCTTTGACATCAGCCCGGCTGTGCCGGAGCCGTTGTGCGGAGCCCCCTCCCGCCGTCCGGGACGTGCCGCTTCCCGCTGCGGCCGGGGTGCTGGGGACCACTGATCTGCGTGGCGGGGAGGCAGGAGGGAGGTAGTTTGTCCGGAGACTTTACGTGTGTAGGGGGAGCGCAGCCCAAGGGGCAATGAGGAGCAGCAGCTTATTAGGATTGCAGTGGTGTTGATTTTTACACTCATTAATTTGTAAAGTGCTATCAAATTGCTCATATCCCAGGAAGAAAACTCGGTATCCCGGAAGAGTTCCACTTATTTTGATCCCATTGTTGGTGGGTGAGCTGCGCTTGGTCCCTTCAGTGCTGTAGCAGCAGTGTGGTGGGAGGTCAAAGCAGTGCTGCAGCAGGCTGGCTGTATCGAGAATTTTTATTACTGACAATTTGTTTTTAACTGGCCCTTATAGCTTCTGGTTGGTTTGTTGTGGATTGCTGTTTTGTCTAAGTTTTCCGTTTCAAATAACGTTATACAATAATACAAAGGTGGCATAGAGTTGGCAAGGAGACTGAGGAAGGACATAGAAGCTGATGGTGTAGAGGACTTAGAAGTACCAAAATGATGATTTGGAAAGTAATTGTATCCAACCTTCCCAGTGTTTATGTTATTGCCAGTTTGGGTTGTTAAAAGTGTCTGTTTGTTGTAGTTCCCTGTGGGAAACTGTAGTTCCTCAGAGAAGTAACGGGGAGGAGAGGCAGTTACTCTTTTTGTCCTCGGTTGTATTAAATCTGTTAGCTGACACCAATTTACTTAGTAAAGGCAATTAAAATCCCAGATACAAATTTTATCAAATAGCAGAGCAGGACCCACAGCAGCATCCTGAGGAGAGAAGGGGAGGCAGCACGCGGAGCTGGGTGGCAAGCTGGTGTTACCCTGCTCCAGGCAAACCTGCACTCCTCCCTCTCCCCTCTATCCCTCCTGAAAAATGGGATTTCAGTTTTTTTGGGAGGGATAGAGGGAGGAGAGCAGTCGGAAACAGGGATTGCATTTGCAGAATTGCAGAAGCTACAAACTTCTTGGGGAGGAGGACAGCAGGTGGAAGCAGCCGCCCCCAAGTGACACGGTAATCCAGACTGAGGAACTGATCGGGCTGAGAAACTGTGGGGAAGGAAACACGCTTTTCCTTGCTGGAATGATCTGCCTGGCTAT